CTTTTAGTGGTCCGTGCCCCGCCTCCTTCCCCCAAAGAGAATCAATTACAATATAAACTGATGGCACCCGTTCATAAATCTACATGCTAATGCTTCGGACCTTTGACAACTTTTCTACCGAACGACCACGATCGGTGGGTCAGCTACCCCCCCCCCCCCCCACCTCAACAACTGTTCCTGCCGGTCGACGGAAATCAGCTGAGCTCTCCCTCCCCGCTTGGAATGATTCGCGCCGCTGGATCCACCGGAGCCGAAGCAATGTCGATCGTAAAGCCAGGCTGAGCGTCAATCGACAGCCAATACCTACCAAAAGGGCAGGCAGAGGAAGCGGCGAGCCCAGACTGGGCCGGCGAGCCGTAATACATTTAACATAAATAAATGCATATACCTCAAGGCTTTCTGCTCAGGATTGTCAACATATCATAGAAAGTTTTGAGGTAACTTCTAGACAGCTGTTTTACTCGTTTTGTCTCACTTTTTGGCGACGTATTGAAAATGTGTGACAATTGACACCCACCCACCTACCTACTGCGTCGATTGGGAAAGAGAAGGACGATAGTAGTTGTAGTGATGTGACGGGAGACTGTTCAAACACGAGCGAATAAATTGCCTTAATTAGCAGCCTTTCACGTTGCTTTTGTCTGTCAGCCACTTTCGGTCTATCATGGCTGATTGATAGGCCGATTAGCCGTCACGAGCAGCCGAGCGTGAAAAGTGGCCGGCGTGGATCAAAGGCGCCGCACGACCGCGGTCCGTCGACAGTGGCCGTATACTGCCGCTGACGGTACCCGGCTAATGCCACCGTTTCCATGGCAACAGCCACGGCGGGGTGGGCTTTTCTTTGCGATTAAGCACGATTGATGGCCATCCACGTGTTGGCCGGGGCTGCCCGAGTGGGGACGCGTCACGAAGTGGGCCTCGCTCCACCCAGCTCAGGGACTATCCGGCAGCGTCCACACGATGATTATAATGAAATACAGTAATTTAGGTGCTAAAGGAAATATGCTAATGCAAGAAGCTGTTGAAAACATTTAAATAGTTGACATTTTTGTATAGAATCTGATTGGTTGGCAAAATATCGATCAAACACGCCGGCTTCTGGCCAATGTCGATGGTTAAACTCTAAGAAAAAGTTCCTAATTGGTTCTAGACCCAGGGTCACTCGGATTCAATTATGGGACAGTTTCCGCTAGAGCTCATCTATTGGTAGTTTTTATACATGCCTACCTGTTACCCATAACCAAACCGTGGCTAAATCATTGGCTGATTAGCATTCAGGACCTCAACCTAAGATGGATTCTCCCACCAGGCAGCATTCCATTCCTTTCCCGACCATATAATTTATGAGTAAAACCATAAGTCCTGCAGCACAGATTGACGTACCTACACCTACCCGCCGGCCCACAGTGATGCAAATGGGGTTCACGAGTGGCCATAAATACCAAAAAGTCAAGTTTACCAAACCGAGTAAATCGCTATATGGCTAACCAAAGGAATGTTTGGCGCATCTGGATTCACATAGTTTTCATATTTTTGTCAAAACCGGCCTCGTGTATGGTTGTCAGAAGTCGTGACATTTTCTATGTCGTAAAATGACTTTCAGATACTCGCAACTTCAAACGCCGCTAGCGTGCGTTCATTTCATACAAATGACAAAAATTATGCATGGCAATGATCCCTAAAGCCTGCTGCTTCTCATGCCGGGTCACAAAAAGCCGCATCTTTTTTGGTGTGGCGGTGATCTAATCATTTGTCATCATGTTGCGATCGCAGTTTTTTACTAAGAAATATTTGCTTTCGTTTCACCTACAGCAGTTTACACAGTGTGTGCCCGTTGGTGCACCATACCATATCATTCCCTAACCATTTCTGAGTCACACTGGGAAAGAATTAACCCTATTCCTGGCGGGGGGGGGGGCTTCAGGAGCCCCCCCCTGAGGTTTTTTGGTTATATCTCCCAAACGCGTTGAGCTAGGAAGCTCAAATTTTCTGACTTTTCCTAAAAGGCTTCTACGCAACATGTCTGAAAATTTTGAGTTGATCTGACCTCAGGTCAGGTCACCAGAGGCGGTTTGGTGACGCTACCTCAGAAAAGTTTGCAATCACGCCAGAGCTAGAGTTTTTGACCGATCAATTTCTTCTCTTCAGGGTTTAGTTAGGGTACCAGTATGTGCAATTTGTATATCTCGGAATTTTGATATCGGTGACCTAAGGTCAGGTCAATTTCGCGACCTCCCCATTATAAGTCAATGGGGGAAAAATCAACTCCCTGTTTTTACCACTAAAACCGGTCGGAATGGCCCCATATACCATACATGACTTCATATACGATCAACCTTCACTACCTTGAGGTCTGTTTTGCTGTTGGGCAGCTGTGAGGTCATGTGACGTCATCAAAGGTCACCAAAGGTTTTTGGCCAATAACTCCGTACAGGAACAAGATACAGACGCGTGGATGGTCTCATTGTGTTCAGCTCGTCAAGACGCATCGAATGATATACATGATGACCTCGAGGTCACGTGACCTGAGGTCAACCTTTGACCTTGACCTTTCGAGGTCAACATATATATCATTCGATGCGGATTGACGAGAGGATCACGATGATGCCCTTAGTTTGTTCCTATCTTGACTAATTCGAAAGTTATTCGAGAAAAACTCTCTCCATATTTAGTGCCGCCATTTTGACTTTTTCGACCCCTGTGACGTCATCTTTGACCTGACCTGAAAATGACCTTTGTAAAAATTGTAGATCTTGGTCGTGCGTATCCGATGCCGTTTACCGCTTGTCGCTATCTTGCTTCGTTCTCGAGATCTCAGGGGGGGGCCGAATCGGCCCCCCCCCCCCCGCCAGTTTCTTGTCCCGGCGGAGCCCGCCAGGAATAGGGTTAAGGCGCTAGCACAGGGCAGACCGGCGCTATTGAAGTTTTTGTCCGGCGCGGTCGGGTGTCGCGGTCGGGGCGGATTGCTTTCACCGCGGATCGCAATTTCGACGGACGTTTAACTTTGAACTGCTATAAGTAGGTCAAATATTGGCCGTAAGTCAAAAGTAATATGCTCACTCGCGAGATCTTGTCAAGAGCAATCCATTGGTTTTTGTCGCGAGGCGATAGGACACTTCGTTTAGGAACAGCAGAGGGATGCACCGACGAACCCCCGCTGAGACCGCCCGCCCGCGGCGCGGCCGCCCGGGCTGCCCACCGCGCCGCGGCACCCGACCGCAACGGACGAAAACTTCAGTAGCGCCGGTCAGCCCTGTGCTAGCGTCTTCATTCTTTCACAGTGCGGCTCAGAAATGATTAGGGAATGCTATGGTATGGTGCACTAACGGGCACACACTGTGTAAACTGCTCTGGGTGAAATGAAAGCAAATATTTTTAAATAAAAAACTGCGATTGCAACATGATGACAAATAGTTAGATCAACGCCAAACGAAAAGAGATACGGCTTTTTGTGACCCTGCATTAGAATCCGAAGACCTTGGGGATTATTGTCATGTATAATTTTTGTCATTTGTATGAAATGGACGCACGCTAGCGGCGTTTGAAGTTGCGAGTATCTGACAGTCATTTTACGACATAGAAAATGTCACGACTTCTGACAATCATACACGAGGCCGGTTTTGACAAAAACATGAGTCATGTTTTTTCAGACACCCCAAACACTTGCCTGACTGGCCATATTACGATTTATTCAATTAGGTGAACCTGAAATTTGGACCTTTTCACTATTTATGGCCACTCGTGAGCCCCATTTGCATCACTGTGCGGCCGCCACTAATTGTTCTTAGATTCCGTGGGCTGAATAGAACCGCCAGCCCGTGATTTTACGAGTGGGCAATTCGCTCGGGTAATCAATAATTGGCAGCGATGTCGGAGGCCGGAGCTGGTCTCGGTCCACATTGCTCAAGGCTAATTAACCGGGCTCCTTCGTCAGCTGGCCTTCCGGACAGTTAGCTGGGCATCAAACACACCCCTGTGGACCCCAAACACGAAAAGACGGTGTCACAGAGGCCGTATGGCGTGTCTACCACCTACTGTCTGTTGAAGGCACGCCGACCGCCAAGTGTCACCGCAGCCACATCTGATGGAGACCGTGCACAACACGTGTTGGTTGTGACTCGGCACGGGCTGGCTGTGACACGACACGGGTCATCTGGTCCCGTGACACGGCACGGGTCATCTGGTCCGTGACACGACACGGGTCATCTGGTCATTGGTCCGTGACACGACACGGGTCTGACACGACACGAGTCACCTGGTTCGTGACACAGTTGCGATAAGTGTTGTCCTCCATCGGCCATCCAACATGCATTAGGTATTGCAATGGCCGGCCGGCAGCACAGTCATTTCCCCTTGAGGAACCTAGCCCATGTCTTACCAGCCGGTTTGGTGTGCCCAGACGCTCTACGTCGTCTCGGCACGGGTTTTCTGTTCGTGCTGCCCCGGTATATACATACCTACCTATCTACCTACCACAAGAACTATCCTTTGGAATGCAGCGGCTCTTTTTTCAAGGCGGCAGACGACATTAGATTACATAATGATCTGCGCTTTAGGTATAAGTCATTGCTATGTCGCCCCTGGCCTGATATCTTGGCTGGCCAGACGGTGGTCATGGACTCGACCGCGACGACTTGAGAACTTTCATCATGCGATAAACCATAGCAGTTGCATCGAACAAAAAGGGAAATGCTGTGTTACTTTTGGTCCGTGGTCGGGATGTGTAATGTGTATTCACTTACTTCGTAAGTAGACAAATGCAATGTTGCGTGCTCGTCTGTCGATTTTCTGCACTACATAGCCAGTCAATGGAGGAGTGTCGCTCCTACTAACGTGTCAGTATCAAAAGGTCCAAGTGTCCCACGTCCACTTAACAATGGCCCTAAGAATTTAATGAAGCACACTGCACAGAAAGTAACCGTAGTTCCAAGTTAAACCTGCCTACGAGATTGCCTGGTTTCATATTCGCTCTGTAATTAATTTCTAATTTTCTGTTCCAGAGTCAACTATTCAAGTGATTCTTCTACGGGCACTATTAGACAGACTTCTGACAAATCTGCACCGGCCTGGCCACCCGTCGCACCGCCAGCTCCGGCGGCAGCAGCCGGCCGCCGGGTCTGACCTTGAGCGGTTACCATGGTGACAGATCGGTGTGATATGGACGCGGAACTGACCGGCGCGGTGCTGTGGAACCGAACAAGGTGTGCGCCACGCAGAACTTCGTGTAATGAGCTCACGCCCGCATTCGTTGGTAGCACCATTCATTTTCGATTGGGCCATTTTAGAATGCATCAGAAACGCACCAGTCAAACGATCTCAAGTGACAGGTTCTCAGGCCACCAAAGCGATAGCAATGCGACGGGGACAGCCGAACTCGGCGTGCTGGGTCCCGGCGTCCGAGCGTGACTGCGAGGTAGGCTGAGCCGCAGCGCCGGTGTGTGATGTGGGACAGTCTACGCCCCAGTGAAGCGCCGCGGCGGCACGGCACGGCGCTGCTCCTGCCGCGACTTTATCAAATGCCGCGCTGTACAGTTAGTGTGTCGGGGTCGCCTCAACCCTCGCTCTGCCGCGAAAGTGTGGAATGGGCTAACGGGTGGCGCCATACGCCCAGCATTGGACCAGGCCGATACTGAATTTGCAATTCCCCCGGTCTCGTTCTCAGTCAGGGCCCGTGAAGACGACCAATCTGGCGCAGCCCGGGCCGCCCCGGTTCATATCAGTCACTGGAATACACCGGTGTGATACGGTTGGCACCGCACGCGCTGCGCCGCGTGACAGCGAGGGTGCCTATGGTGTCCCGGTGACTAGGGTGTCTATCCTGCCGGGGAAAGGGGGCAGAGCCCGGGGCAGTGGGGGAGGCTCTCAGTGCATGCCAGTTAACGTTCTGCGTTGTTGACTAACCTCGTTAATGGAACAATCATTAAGAATCTTTATCGATTTTGGTCGTTGTGAATAAAGCGTCTCCTTCACATGGCAGCAAAATGCATCTCCGGCTTCCCTTCGTAAGTTCCTGCGTTCAAGATGCAATCTAAAGGCATAAAGGCATAGTCCATCAATATAAACGCAGCAGTAGGATACACGTTGCTTCTTGACTTTATTTTCAGCGAGGTATGACACAAGGCTCAATGATCAGACTACAAATGAACATTACGGAACCACACTCGGTCCACGGCATTACCGCCTCATCAGAACGCGACATGAACGGACAATGCCCGAAAGAGGCGATACACTATAGAGGTGCGTCAACCTGCCTATCCCACACACTAGGCAACAGGCTGACACGGGGGCAGTTTGGGTGTCACAGCCTGACAATGGCTCTAACACAGCTCGAAACAAGGCATACCTACTGAACACTGAAACAGGGCACTTAGTGACGCAGTCGGTCACGCGGCTAGCTGACTGCCTAGCACACGAGCAACAACGTGCGGAGAAGATCAAAAGCGAGAAGGTCACCAAACACAGGTTGACAGACCGGAAAACGCCGCACCAGTCTCAGTGTTCCTAGAAGGCGGTGGCGGACACTAAATCGGTCTTGCCGGCAGGTATCGTGTATCACATCAGACAGGTCCCCGGCGCTCTGCCTGGGACGCGGAGCACGGTCCAAATCACAGACTGCCGCACAGTTAACACCAGACTTCAGTCGTTCACATTGGGCACCCGTCGGCTGCGCTGCAGTAGCGGGCGGGTTTTATCACAGACACCCGTGAGTGGCGGCGCCGTTCGAAGCAGACACACCCCATTCTCGACAGACGCCGGGCCTGAAGGCGGCAGTGACGTGCGGCTGAGATCAATGACACTGGCCGTTCCGTTAGCTCTCGGTCAGTCTCCGAGAGCCCGCCTAATACGGCCGGCCGCCGCGGCACTGGCCCATCACCCGCTGCCGGCCGGCGACCCGTGTCGATCCCCCCCCCCCCCCCCGACAGATCCACACGCCGGCCACGGTCCCGGCGCTGCGAACAGCCCTATCACAGCGCCGCACCTGATACAGACGATCAACGGCACTGTCCGCCGGCCCAGAGCGCCGCTAATACCACCACTCCGCGGAACAGCCAGATGCTTTGACCACACACTCGCCGAGAGAACGCAAAAACAATCAGATCAGACTCCTGAAGTGCACTTATCCTATTCTGAGCCACGAGGGCGGTATGCGCTGCCCAAGTCACGTGTTGTTCGGTATTGTTAGACATATTTATAAAATATGATGGCCAATAGTTGCAAACCAAAATGATAAAAAATAAAAAATGATAAAGAAAAAGATTTAGATTTTAATTACCATTTTGGTTTGCAACTATTGGCCATCAGATTTCACGTGTTGTTCCGTGAATGACTATCCAGGGGTCTCTCACGTAGGTAACAAGACATCCCCCCATCTCCGATAATCCAAGCTCAGACTGTTTTCTGAGTCCGCCTCAGTGACACACCCTCCACTCGCATGTCACCACGGGGCCGAGCTCGGGTCAGCTCGAGGCCGCGCCGCGCCGGTGGCCGCCTCACTGCTGCGGCAGCGGGCGTTTTCGTGAGTAGGTGCGCGGGGCGCCCGCGGCTCGGGTGGCGAACGGACGGAAGGAGGGCGCCGCGGCGACTCCTGCCTGATCAGACGCGACCGCGGGCGGGCCAGCAGGAGACCCTCCACGGGAGGAGATGCTGCCGCAGGGGTCGGCAAGGCACGGCTCGCAGGTTCCCGGGGCCGCCAGCCCCAGCTCTGACCGCTGCTCCGGACGGGTGGCGGCCACAGACTCCTCGGCAGATATCCGCCCAGGTGTGGGGGCAGCTGGCTGCGCGGCAGGTGACTCCGCAGATCTCTGTACCACTGGCTGTGTAGGTGTTTGTTGAGCGGGCTGTAAAGCTGCCTCCACGGGTCTCTGGCCGGCTGGCTGGGTGGATGTCTGGGTAGATGTCTGGGTGGATGTCTGGGTGGATGTCTGGGTAGATGTCTGGGTAGATGTCTGGGCACATGCGCTGGAGGCAGGTGCCTGAGCCGCCAACGTCCCCTTCTTCTTCTTCTTCAAGTATGTTCCCTCTCTCTTGCGCTGTTCACTAGCGCTCTCTGAAATCAGTAGATACCGAATTGTAAAATGAGTAAAAGCGAAATTCTCCCAAAAACAAAAATAAGCGAACTAAAACTACTGAAGAGCAACAGGTAAACACTGACAACAATCACTTGCAAGGTATGTAACGTCGTATGATACATGATTCCGGTACCTGACATCAAAACAAACCACAGACAGCGAGCGAGCAAGAGAGCGAGAGAGATAGAGAGAGATAGAGAGATAGAGAGATAGAGAGATAGAGAGATAGAGAGATAGAGAGATAGAGATAGAGAGACAGAGACAGAGACAGAGACAGAGACAGAGACAGAGAGAGAGAGAGAGAGAGAGAGAGAGAGAGAGAGAGAGAGAGAGAGAGAGAGAGAGAGAGAGAGAGAGAGAGAGAGAGAGAGAGACATGGAGATGGAAATGGAGATGGAGATGGAGAGAAGGAGTAATATCCCCTCCTCCAACCACCCACACAAAATATGCACAGTAACGCCAGACATCAGCTGACTGACGGGGAGATCGAGTCGTCTGTAACCCGGCTTCAGACTGATACATTCCAAGCACAGGAGTTACGGCTGAAGATGAACAAAAGGTCATCTGCCTTGGGATTCCGCAGGGAACCACTTACTTCATTTAATTCATTTATTCAATCGAAACGCAGGTCACGCTTATCCAAATCGCCTTGCCGGTGGGTAAATCTTCCGTAAAAGTGGCTACCTTCCTATGGCAGCCAAGGATTCTATAATCTGAACCCGGTGCAAGGAAGCAGCCATCGACCTCCACGTCCAGCGGCGGCCAGCATTAGGTAAAGCCGGCCTGTATATGGAGGATGCTCCCAGGACATGTTGACTAGAACGAAACGTGTGCTCAGAACGAGACATGTGCTCAATTAGGGAAAGCCAATCGCATCAGTCGCTGTTTGTGAGATAATGTCAGAATTAGGATTCACTCCTGATTTCCATACAGGATTGGCCGTTACGGTCCACTGTACATGCAGGAGGCTGGCGCCAGATGAAAGGAACGGCCGGCGTTGGTAAATGAGCGAATTTCAGGCGAACCGCGGTCGATACAGCGACAGGTCAGTGCAGATCGACTCCCGTTACGCAACTGCGAAATGAGGTTACCGTTGGGAGAATGGCGAAATGGTAATGAAACTTATTATCCAGATGCCATTAGGCATTGAATGAGACAGATCCATAAATGGTAATGTCAGACCATGGTCCAATACTTAAAAGAAGCATAAAATAAGTCAACGAAAAATACTTCTAATAAATCAATGTTTATACGGAATACAGGAAATGATGTCCATCAAAATGCATTTTTCATCAACCGTCCAGAGACCAAAGTGACTAGAGCATCTCACAACTGAACGGAAGGATTTGCAGGATTTCAAAGTAATTTATGTAGCGGACTTGGCGAAAATATCGGTCTGGGGCATATCGTAGCATATCCATCATCAGTATCGTCAGCACATTTCAAACGTAGCGGTTTGGACGCGACTGAAAAATGAGATATCATGGCTATCATGGAGAGTTTGATCCCGTGTGAACTCAGCACTCCATCGGTCTCAGATCATACTATTGAGCAAATGGTAACCCATTTCATAGATGCCGCGTCGTATTCCCGACCACCCTGGTTCTTTACATCAGACCGGCGCAAAGCAGTGCTCTCGCTCAATTCTCATTTCACCTGTACTTCCCATCACGAGGCCCCGCTCCACGCCCTCCCGCGGGCCGTGTGAACTCAGGGCCGCCGCTCTCGCCCTGCCCCGTCTGACGGTCCGCCCAGTGCCGTGCCGCGCGGCCCGCCGTTCCCGGGCCGTAGGGAGCACGCCCGACGGCCATAGCACGGCGCGGCGGCGCGGCGCCGGCCTCCGAACGGGCCGATCGCGCGTGCAGCTCGAATAATGCAGCGTCATTCTACGAGCAGGTGCAGTACGGAACGGCAGCTAACGCAGTGGCCATGGCCGTTTACCCAGAGAACCCTGTCGGTATTGGGTATAGCTGAATCGATGGCATTTCACTAATGAGAAAACTTTAATTGGGCATTCGCTAGGACATTTGCACGCAAAATATATTGGAAATAACATCCATGCATATTGCATATTGCATATTTCATAGGCTTCATAAATCGTAACAAAATACGGAGCATGATCCCACCATATAACGGGTTGTTAAGTATTAAAAAGGGAGCACAATTGAACATTGCACAGGACGGCCAATAAAATTGAATTGTTTCAACAATTTAAGCCCAACTGCCCATTTCAGTCAATAATAGACACACTGCAGTGGAGCAAACGGCCGTAACGCTGCCATCCATTTCAAGCATGAGTTCAAAGGTTTGGAATGCGCACATCCACCACCTGATACGAAAATACAAATTTAACGGCAGCGGCACATCGCAATAATCCTATTACCCACCCTATCATTGATATTATACTGCTGCATGCGGCCGTCCGCCTCTCGTACGTTGGCGTTACTGGATTATCCGAGCCGCTCCCGTAGGGTGAAATCGTGCCGGGCTGCCCGCCCGGCCGGGAGGAGCATTAGCCGGGCCGTGCCAGCGCCGCCAGCCGGCTCAGTGCAGGGCCGGCACGTGCTACCATTTGGAGGGACGTGCCCCGCCTCACACGGAGTCCCCTCACCCCTCCCCCGTCTGCAGGCGATAATAAAACACCGGCAAAACCTGACATATCAAATGTGGCGCAAAAAAAAAGTTCACCAGGCTCGATATCACAACGGTAGGAATTCACTAATCTGTGAATCGCTTTCGTAGATTTCAACCTCGAACATTTTACGTAAAGTCAAACTACTCCAAGAAGTCTTTTTGTTTCTTCTTCAGACCCTGGTGCCCATTTTCATTCTGCGCTGCTTCGGGGCCGAATAGCAAACAGAAAAGCAGAATGGAAACACTAAAAATCCAGCGGCGGTGGTGCGGCAGCATGGACAAAGAGGACAACAAAGGTCGTATTGGTCGACATACCAGCTGCAATCTCAGAAAAAAAGTGAAATCCAATTTAGTAAATGCCGGAAAATCCGCAAAACATGATTGCCGTACAACTATCTTTTCCATTTACGAAAACACCCGTATGAAGGGTTGCACCAGGCTGCCTTAACATTCTATGGAATTCATTGTAATAGCAGATGAGTTGAACCATCACACTGTTGGTAACAACACATTGCCACACTTGTTCCATTGTGAACCAGTGCAGCAGCAGAGTGCGTGTTACAGTGACTCGGTGAGCGGTTCATCCCCGTCTGATCAGGCAGCGAGTGATGAGCGTGACACCGGGACCAGCGCAGCACTGAGCTGCACCTAATAACGTCGAGTCGCTGGGAGGACTCGCGGACCAGCAGAGCCACCTAATAACGGACGCAGCACTGGGAGGCGCCCAGTCAGACATGTCTGGATAGTCAGCGGGCTTCCGGAGGAGAAGCCCAGCCTGAAGCAGCCACTCCAGCCTCAGTGATGAGCGCAGGCACCGGTGAGTTTCCGAGAGGGACCCAGCCGGATACAGCCACTCCCAGTCTCATTAATAAGCCCAGGCACCAGTGAGTTTCCGGGAGACAGCCAGCCGGATACAGTCAGTCCCAGAAAGGACCGAGTCAGGCAGTGAGTTTCCGGGGGAGGGGGAAATTCACGGCTTCAGCCGGGAGTAGTCAGCCGGATAGTCAGTCCCGAGAAGGATCCAGTGAGTTTCCGGCAGGGGCCCAGCCCGATACAGCTGGCCCATCCTGTGAGAAGGACCCATCTAGCCAGTGAGTTTCCGAGAGGGACCCGGTCGGATACAGCTACTCCCGGCTGTATCCGGCCTAGGTAGCCGGGTGAGTCCCCCCCCCCCCCCATTAGGTGGGTCGCTCGGAGTGCACGCACGCCCCCTCCGATCGGGGAGGGGGAGGGGGTGGTCCAGCTCGAGTCATCAGGTCGCATACTGCGTGACCAGATGCTTCCAAGACCTCCTTCGACGGGATCTGAAAAAAGGAAGGGCTAAACCCCACCAGGGATACCTACACGACAGCACGAAAATCAGTGGACAAACCAGACCGGAGTTACACGATACGGATCGTCGATGGGTCGCACGGACCTTTGCAAAATTACAAGGGGAAGTCGGTGTAGAGATTCGCATGCTCCTCTTCAGAATCGCTGAAGCATTCAATTAGCTACACAGTCTGGAAGGGGTGGAGTTGCGCATGCAGGCCTAGCAGAGGAACGAAGACGGACAGGCGTTACAGTGGAACGGAATTACGCAGGCATACTGCCGACTAGCAGACACTGATACGGCCTGACCATGAGAATTAGGTGAGGCTGCTGGCTGAACACCACCAATACATTCCGTGGGCACTGGCAATGGACATCAGTACCGACAGTTTTCAGCGGAGATAACCTAACCGAAGCCAGCGGCACATCACGGTCCACTAAATCTCCGCCGAACCCCGGCAGACTCGGAGACACCAGCATGAATCACCAGTAGGCGACCGCCGCACAGTGGGCCAGGCGCTTCAAAAAAGCGGAATTAAATCAATGAGCACAGTTGCGGTGCCAAAAATGATTCGTTACAGGGTAAAATATCATGCTAAAGCCGAATCCGATATCCATTTTCAAATTTGATTGGTTACGCTAGGTCGCTGACCTATGACGTCATTATTTAATTTCTGCGCTGCACATATGCCTGGGACAGGCGGGCACTATGCCGCATTGGCCGCGCGTTTGCAGTCTTTTCGTGGTTTCAAGCGTTCAAACATGTGATATGATGTTGGTCCCATGCTTTAGGGTGGATGTAAAGGTCACCTGAAGGTCAGGTCAGGTCATTGACCTTCGATGACCTCGGTTCACTTTTTCGAGTTTTACATGTTTCTGGGCTAGTTTTTGGAGCTGAATTCGAATTTCGGAACCATTTGAACATTTACGAAGTAGTTTTGGTGCCTTCGTAACATGTTACGAAGCTGTCAGAGGCGGGTTGACACCTACTACGGATACCCGGCAGGACCCATACTGGTTGACCTGACCTGAG